CCAGCTGTTCTGATTTTAGCGTTTGTTTTTAAACGAGAGAAAAGTCTGGTCATGTGACAGGCTATGCAAATTAGCCCTCGGCAGTGGTGTTATGCGAAGTTATGTTACTTCTAAAAACGACGATTAATTAAAAACTAGACGTACATTTTAAGACGTTTGCATATATGGTCTTCGGAAAATGTTTATAAATTAAGTTCAGGTGAGTAGTTGTAATATTTTCATTCCAAAGCTGGTAAACAACAACATAGATATTTTGAAATTGTGTCAGTCATGACTGAGTCATTTATTTCTGGACATATTTTTCCTTAATTGAGAGTCATATACGCAAGAATCCTGCACCAGGGGAAACCCTGGTTAGGGTTTGAAAAATTCATTAAAAAATGGAAAATTAATAAAAACTATTTTTTTCTTTGGACTGCACCCCTCCATATGACACAGATTATATGTACTAAGTTTGAGATGAATCCAATGAATAGTTTAAGAGAAATCGCGCGGACAAAGTTTTCGGACAGGCGGACGGACGTACGGACGGAACCTTGGTATAACTGTAACATGTGATAACAATTAAACTTTGAAATTTGAGATAAAACATCACTATTGTATTTCCAGTTTTGCTAGGCATTCTTGTATATGCAGAGATTAAGATTCCCCTGTGTACTGGCTCGTAAACTAAGCCAGGAGCAGCAATCACGTTTTCTAGGGATTGACCGGTGATTTGGTTCAAAAGCTCCCAATAATATTACTTTAAAGAATTTTGATACAGTGATTGGAAGAATGGTATCTGAAACTATTATTTTATCAGGAATAATATATTTCAACATCATGTTAGTTGCAGCTTTGCTTTATATATTTCAAATAAATTGATAACCATAAGTGTAGCACTTTGGCATGTTGATTGCTATTGCAGGATAATATTACGTATGGAACAATTTGACCAATCACCGTCAATGCTTCCATGCTCGCAATTGTGAAAACTTTATGTTAGTCACATTACAACAAAACTTTATATTATAAGTCAAACTACAACAAATAAGACTTTCAATGAGACAAAGTATGGCATTTATGATATATATATAAATCCATTTTCTGTCAACTAAAACCTTTTCAAGGCGTCATAAGTGGTAAACTGATCATGGTTGCTGTAAATAACGGTGAGTTGTGCGATCTACCAACCACTTCACACACAATTTTGCCAAAGTGAATGTAATCAAATTCGATATAATTTTTAAATGAGGTGAGGTGAGGTGAAATGGGGTTTAACGTCGCGTCCAAGATTATTGCATTATTGCACGGCCGGGGATCAAACCCTTGACCTTCCTCTCTCCGGGCAGATGCTCTACCACGAGACCACGGAGGCGGTCAATTTTGAAATGAAAAGTCCAGATATACAATGACAGTGTAAATACAAGAATAATTTGCTTACTTCATTACAGATGTTTTGACCTAAACTATTGTGAAGAAATAAAGTTTACATTTACTGAAACAGACATGTTATTGTCAATAATGTCAATGACGGAAAGCAACAGTTTTTGTTATGTCTCAAAGTAATCCATGCATAAGTGTGTCACTGCACACCAGTGGCAACAAATGAGTGATTTCTTTCGTGACTTTCCACATTTGCTTAAAGTTCCTTCTCCGATATTTACCGATAATTGACCAATATTTATTTAGTGATTATCGATCTAAATAATCAGTATCGACAGCCAACCCTAGTAATGTGGCTATTTGGATGCTTGACTTGTATCAGTCAAACTAAAGGTCAATATGACAGACATCAGGGGTGAAACGATTGATCAGCTATAGATACATGGCAATATGCTGACTGGTTAGAAAATCAATAATGTATAAAAACATTAATAAATATATAAATAAGTAATATATAAAAGGAGGTTGTGTGATGGCATGCTGACAGGTTTGGAGGGTTACGATGGCTTGTTAGAGGCTATATGATGACATGTTCTTATAATTAAGGAGGGTATATGATGGCATGTTGTCAGAAGTATGGAGGGTGTATGATGGCTTGTTGTTAGAAGTAAGGAGAGTGTATGATGGAATGTTGTTAAGAAGTAAGGAGGGTGTATGATGGTATGTTGTTAAGAAGTAAGGAGGGTGTATAATGGCTTGTTGTTAGAAGTAAGGAGGGTGTATGATGGCTTGTTGTTAGAAGTAAGGAGAGTGTATGATGGAATGTTGTTAAGAAGTAAGGAGGGTGTATGATGGTATGTTGTTAAGAAGTAAGGAGGGTGTATGATGGTATGTTGTTTGAAGTAAGGAGAGTGTATGATGGAATGTTGTTAAGAAGTAAGGAGAGGGTATGATGGAATGTTGTTAAGAAGTAAGGAGAGTGTATGATGGAATGTTGTTAGAAGTAAGGAGAGTGTATGATGGTATGTTGTTAGAAGTAAGGAGAGTGTATGATGGTATGTTGTTAGAAGTAAGGAGAGTGTATGATGGTATGTTGTTAGAAGTAAGGAGGGTGTATGATGGCTTGTTGTTAGAAGTAAGGAGAGTGTATGATGAAATGTTGTTAGAAGTAAGGAGAGTGTATGATGGTATGTTGTTAGAAGTAAGGAGGGTGTATGATGGCTTGTTGTTAGAAGTAAGGAGAGTGTATGATGGAATGTTGTTAAGAAGTAAGGAGTGTGTATGATGGAATGTTGTTAAGAAGTAAGGAGGGTGTATGATGGTATGTTGTTTGAAGTTTGGAGGGTGTATAATGGCATGTTGTTTGAAGTATGGAGGGTGTATGTATAATGGCATGTTGTCAGAAGTAAGGTGGATGTATAATGGCATGTTGTCAGAAGCAAGGAGGGTGTACGATGGCATGTTGTTTGAAGTAAGGGGTGTATAATGGCATGTTGTCAGAAGTATGGAGGGTGTATGATGGCATGTTGTTAGAAGTATGGAGGGTGTATAATGGCATGTTGTCAGAAGTATGGAGGGTGTATAATGGCATGTTGTCAGAAGTAAGGAGGGTGTATGATGGCATGTTGTCAGAAGTATGGAGGGTGTATGATGGCATGTTGTCAGAAGTATGGAGGGTGTATGATGGCATGTTGTCAGAAGTAAGGAGGGTGTATGATGGCATGTTGTCAGAAGTGTGGAGGGTGTATGATGGCATGTTGTCAGAAGTAAGGAGGGTGTACGATGGCATGTTGTTTGAAGTAAGGAGTGTATAATGGCATGTTGTCAGAAGTATGGAGGGTGTATGATGGCATGTTGTCAAAAGTATGGAGGGTGTATAATGGCATGTTGTCAGAAGTATGGAGGGTGTATAATGGCATGTTGTCAGAAGTAAGGAGGGTGTATGATGGCATGTTGTCAGAAGTATGGAGGGTGTATGATGGCATGTTGTTAGAGGTAAGGAGGGTGTACGATGGCTTATTGTTATAGTGAGTGAGTGAGTGAGTGAGTGAGTGAGTGAGTGAGTTGGGTTTAACAGCGCTCTTAACAGTATTCTAGTTATATCACGGCGTGTCAGCTTGATGTTGGAGGAAAGCCCGAAGTGATGCAGGTCTGAGACGTTTACCACTTCGCTGAAACCAATGAGCATGGGTATGGTGGTGACAAACCTAGAAACATAATCGGGGCGCACCGGGATTCAAACCCACAATCATAGGTCTCTGGCGTGCCCAAGAGACACAACACTCAGTGAATCGCGGCGACTGAGCCACCCGTGCCCCCTGAAGTAAAGAGGGTGTATGATGACTTGTTGTCAGAAGTAAGGAGGGTGTATGATGGTTAGTTAATGTGAGTGAGTAAGTATGATGGCATGTTGTTTGAAGTATGGAGGGTGTATGATGGCATGTTGTTTGAAGTATGGAAGGTGTATGATGGCATGTTGTTTGAAGTATGGAGGGTGTATGATGGCATGTTGTTTGAAGTATGGAGGGTGTATAATGGCATGTTGTTTGAAGTATGGAGGGTGTATAATGGCATGTTGTCAGAAGTATGGAGGGTGTATAATGGCATGTTGTCAGAAGTATGGAGGGTGTATGATGGCATGTTGTTTGAAGTATGGAGGGTGTATGATGGCATGTTGTTTGAAGTATGGCAGGTGTATGATGGCAAGTTGTTTGAGTGAGTGAGTGAGTATGGTTTAACGCCGCTTTTAGCAATATTCCATCAATATCACGGCGGGGAACACCAGAAATGGGCTTCACACATTGTACCCATGTCGGGAATCGAACCCGGCTCTTCGGCGTGACGAGTGAACGCTTTAACCAATAGGCTACCCGACCGCCCCGCATGTTGTTTGAAGTAAGGAGGGTGTATAATGGCTTGTTGTTAGAAATAAGGAGAGTGTATGATGAAATGTTGTTAAGAAGTAAGGAGGATGTATAATGGCTTGTTGTTAAGAAGTAAGGAGGATGTATAATGGCTTGTTGTTAGAAGTAAGGAGGGTGTATGATGGCTTGTTGTTAGAAGTAAGGAGAGTGTATGATGGAATGTTGTTAAGAAGTAAGGAGGGTGTATGATGGCATGTTGTTTGAAGTATGGAAGGTGTATAATGGCATGTTGTTAGAAGTAAGGAGAGTGTATGATGGAATGTTGTTAATAAGTAAGGAGGGTGTATAATGGCTTGTTGTTAGAAGTAAGGAGGGTGTATGATGGCTTGTTGTTAGAAGTAAGGAGAGTGTATGATGGAATGTTGTTAAGAAGTAAGGAGGGTTTATAATGGCTTGTTGTTAGAAGTAAGGAGGGTGTATGATGGCTTGTTGTTAGAAGTAAGGAGAGTGTATGATGGAATGTTGTTAAGAAGTAAGGAGGGTGTATGATGGCATGTTGTTAGAAGTAAGGAGGGTGTATGATGGCTTGTTGTTAGAAGTAAGGAGAGTGTATGATGGAATGTTGTTAGAAGTAAGAAGGGTGTATAATGGCTTGTTGTTAGAAGTAAGGAGAGTGTATGATGGAATGTTGTTAAGAAGTAAGGAGGCTGTTGGAACTATTGTGTGTGATGAATATAATAATTTGTATTCAGTCTTGTTGCAAACATTTACCTTCAGTAAGATTCCTCCCAGGATTAAAATCTCTTGGGTCTGAACTGGGTGGTATCAGATCACAGCTTGTCAAACGAGATATGCGACATCCATATGCAGGGTCCGCTCTAGAAATACAAATGAAATAAATTCAAGATTCTTATGATGTACAGGCATTCAGTTCACCCAAGTAAGTTAGGCATTATAAACAGGTAATGCTGCCTAAGACACACACATTGAAAACAAACTGAGCATGCGTTTCTGCTTGTAGAGAACTTGCAGAAGCAGAAGACACCTCTCAACGCCATTTCTAGTAGGATTGAGACGATACAATGGTATCCTGTGCATTAACAGTAGAGGACGTAACGTGTACGCGAGACGGCTCTCCCGTCTCGCGTACAAGTGACCACCTGAGAGGGGGTCACTCGTATGCGTGACGGCCTGTCAGTGGACCATGGATTTCTGCATGTTGCACAAAAATGTCTCTACAAGCGTTATTTGTGAAAATAACAAAACAAAATTAAGTACAGTTATTGATCATTCTACTAGTTATCGAATGACATGAAAAGAATGTCATAAGAAAAATAATAAACGGTCAAATTGGGAGAAAAATGTGCAAAAATGGAGCAAAATGTTCTGTTTTTGACAGCGATTTTCTCCTATGTACATTTTTTTCAGAAACTAACACGTAGTATTTTCTAAATGCTTATTCATCGCAGAGTTACAAAATATATAAATTATTTCACGCACACCAACGCACACCCATTTTCCATCGTGTTGAAACATGTTTACTTTCTTAGAAACTGCGTGAACCGTCTCGCGTACAAGTGACTGGTCGACAAGCCGATAAAGGGAGGTAACCGATGCCTGACTAAAATGTTCAATTGGAACATCCGTCTTGTAACACTAAATGTGTCTGAATCAGAATGATGCGTATAGTATGCACGATATTTATTTAGCGTGTAGTTTCGTGGTTAGAACAAGGAGGAAATGTATTTTGATCACGTATTAGGAAAACAATTTTGCAGTGGGTAATATATTTTTAGGTGGAAGTAAAATTGTTGGAAAACAAAGTATTTCTGTGAAATAATGAGTAATGCTTGGTATCGAATGACATAAAATATTGAAAAGTAAATTAAAAGAGTCAAATTTGGGAATTTTGGACAGCGATTTTCTCCTATGTGCATATTTTACAGAAACATAATTTCAGTATTTTCTTAAAGCTTATTCGTCATAGTGTAGCAACATATACATACTTTTTCGGGCACACGAATGCACACCTATGTGCCAGCGCGTTGAAAAATATCTACTTTCCTCAAACTGCTCGCAACTGGTAAACACGTCGTCCCACAGCCCCGTTACGCGTACGAGAGACGGCTCTCCGAACAAGCAGTGAAAGACGGCCTGAGAGAGAGTCACTTGTAGGCGTGACTGCCTGGTCAACATCCATAGATTACAGATGTCCATAAAAACAAACATACGTAGTTATCGACTGTTGTAATGCTTGTTATCGAAAAATTTAAAATCAAAACAATCGAATAATTGGCGTGGTGTTTAAACATGGTAAATATGGTAAACATGGTAATAAGCATCTCTATATGATTAGGTAAAACAATATTTGAAGCAGCCCGAAAGGCATGCATTAGGCACCTCTGTTCAAAATGTAAACATATGAACTTGGTCTCGTCGCCATATGGCTGAAATAATACCGATTTCAGAATAGGTGTGTTAGTTTACTAACAAGAGAAAGGTTCGATCACGTGATACCCTGCACACCCGCAGTGGGGGGTGAAAATAAGGCGAGCATGGCCGAGTGAGCTCGGGGGTTATCGGCAATTGTTGGTCAATCTTGCCTCGCGAACGATCGACATATCAGCACTTTTAATGACTGTCAGATCAATATTCAGGACAGAATATACATTAATTTGTGAGATGATGTCTTGGAACATGTATGACACGATAAACTTTCTTTATACACAAAATATACCCGAGCACAGGTGGACAGGAAAGTATATAATCTGGTCCAAACGGCCTATCACGCATGCAGAATACACTACTATATAGAATATACTATTGCATCGCACCTGTTTTACCTAATTGCCGAGACTGCCTGTATATTCAGTGCAATTTGAGGTGGTCATAAATCCTACAGGTCCCTCCCCGTACCTATACATCGCCCTTTGGCCCTGAAGGACTGGCTGTGTGTGCGCGCATACAATGTATATTTCCAAAGACAATACACAATTCCAAATATTTATTTTTTTCATTACTAACACCATACCCCATAGATGCAGTAAAGTAAATATAAAATTGGATTTGCTTGTGGGTTTGTATCCCCCAACCCCCTCCCCACCAGGGATTGATTTATTTATACTTTATTAGGTCATTTATGCTAAAGCGATGTAAACCATTATATATGCCTATCAAAGACTTCACAGAAACCGTGCTTGTATAAATTTCGTTGGCTTCCTTTGGATATGGCTGACACAGCCTACATGTTTGCGTAATATATGAAAACCTACATATACTGAAGGAATATGTTTTAGAATATATTTTACTACAATGGACAGCACACATGTGTGATTCGAGTTGCTAAGCGAAATCAGTACACGTCCCTGATATGCTGCCGATTGATGCGAGTAGTGATTCAACTTGGATTGGAATTGACACGTATTGAGGTTAACTAATCTGTATAAGCACCGGTTAAGTGTTCTTTCATAATATCAGAGGATAGTAATTGACACAACTGTTACCAAGACTTATTTATTCATAAAAATATACAATGACAAAAATATCATGATAATATACATGTGTGTCTGTCTCAACAGTACAAGTCATCTTCTGGAATCATGCCAGTTTTCGTTTTTTTGCTCAAGCGTGTGCCTGTTGGAGACTTAAAAGGGATTAACTTTGGACCACTGCCGTGGTGTATTTACTGCACTAAATTTATCGTGAAAGAACGGAGTAGCGTTCTGCAGAGATCCATCATTCATCGCTGACGTGATGACGCCAGGTCTTTGGGACCCTACCCACACATTGTCCATCTGGTAGCAGCAGTTGATGGCTGAGGTGTCTAATTAGTTGCCCGATTCTTGGTGAATCTTCATCATGTTCAACGGCAAGGCGATTGGTGGTTATACCCGGAAAGCATGATATCTGCAGAATAAAAAAGACATGTCGATTTCATCCAATTGATGAATACCTGTTTTTCAGTTATTTCGAATACATCGAATGCTGTGTGTATAGCTATTTGTAGACCATTTATGAAAATTTATGATATCTTTGAACGGTTGCATGTTCCACAAGTGTGGGTTTCATCTTTACTTCGCAAGCCTCAGAACTGTCGAGTAACCATTAGGGTAAGTCGAGTTGTTTCGGCATATGTTATATTCACAAATCCCGTCGAATCAATGACATCAACTATTATCAGTAGTATATTTGTTGTAGCATAACATGTCATCCGTCTAACGTTTGTGGTTACACGCATGCGCTTTTAAAATAAAGTTTGGTAGCGGAATAGAAATTGAACTAGTACGCTGCTACAGTTCCTTACTTACCCATAAATTGTGGAAAATACCACTACAGGATACACCGACGCGTGTGTAGTGACTTCGGATCCCCATCCAGTAGGTCCACGGAAAGAATGCACATATTGAACTAAGGACGAAAACCTTTTCGTCAGCAGATCCATAACTTTAGTCTAGTGTGGATGAATAAACGGTTATGCTCACGCTTCAGTATAGAGCGCAATGAGGTTTATTGATTTAATACAAAACCACCCAGCTAAAGCAGACCTACCAACAGATACGAAAATCATAAATACGACCCAATGTGAGCAGCCTATGTACATTGTGAAGAGCATCTCTTCTTCTCAGAGGAAGTATAATCATTGACACCTGTGTAATGTGAGTATATCCAAAGGAGTTGACAAATCTAAATATCACAAATGAATTAACAATTGTTGAACAGTTGCATTAGTTTACATGACATCAACCACTACGTCGTGCATGGATATTTGTTCATAAAATAGTAATTGCTAAACGGTAACAACATATATTCAATATGAAACAGCATGGACCTACTTGTGATGCAGGTGATTAAAACCGCTTAGTTGTGGGCATAGTCTGACCACCGACTGGCTCACACTGGCTAATCCCCTTCTGATCGATCAATATACAACTGTATCATGTTAAAATATGCACTCGTCTATATTTTTATTATTTTAGACATTGTCATGTTACTTATAATACGGGATTAAATACGAAATGCTATACATTATCATTGCCTGTTTTCAGTTGTGTTCATACACGAACATAATTTAATTTCGTCTGCTGTCATTACACCACCAATTAAAAAATATATATGGGAGGGGGCATCAATTGGTGCGGGAATCGTATATAGGTCACTTTCGGGTCTCTCGAGGGGATAAATATAAATAGTAATCCTCCAGGCTTTTACAAACGAAATATATTTTATACTGTTAGCCTTCAGTTGTATATTGTCGTTTAACAACGCGCATTTTGATAGGCAGACTGTTGACACGTGAGCAGCCAAGCTCAGGTATTAACCGTTCGCTATCGTAAACATTGTCGTTGACAATACACACGGGTTCTCTCTATACCCGTTATTTCGTTATAAGCGCTTTTACATTGTAGTATTCTATTCTCATCACTTACTTATGAGGAAAACAAAACGCGGGTCAGTCGTCTCGCCGGCGCCTCTTCAATTAGATCGCGTAATCACAAGATGCAAATTAGCATAACACCGGAAATCCTGTTATTACACGATTGAATATTCCATTCAATACTTTTCAGATATACGAATCGTGCATCAATGAACGGATTTATTTCCAGAAACACCGCTGACGAACAGGTAGATGTGAGCTGATTGTTATTTCCGGCCTATAATTTACGAGAAAATACATGCGGTAATTTTAATATCTGTATATAAAACAATGCCAAGCAGAACGGAAAATATAGGATACTGCGCATAATATGATAATGATCGTGTATACACTAATCGACAACAAAAACACGTCAATGTGGCTGCACTCAGATAGGTGTCGTTTGGCGCAGCAAGAATAGAGCGGAACCGCAATCAGGCGCATTTATCATGATGACTAAGCGTT